TGTTCAACTTCAACAGTCAGTCAACAACTCCACAAGGGGAATCTTTGAAACTTGTATCTTGTATTATATTAATTTATATGGATAGCATTCATTTGTATTGTTATTATTGTATCTCTCCTTTTAATAAGTAGCTAGCCAGAGATAGAGAAGAGAGACTCAGACTTTTCAAAGACCAGGAGCTCATTGACATTTGCCAGCCGCAGACAAGCTGCACCAGGAGGCAGGAGGCAGAGAGGATCTTCATACATGGAAATGAAACAGCATTTTGCAGATGAATATGTTGCAAATCCGTATATGAACTCGTATGGCACAACACCAGAGACGGACAGGCAGCAGCCGCACTCTCTAACTGAACCTATCAGCTTATGCCACAGCCCATCTTCTTCAGATTGCTCTTCCTCCTTCAAAACCAGTAATTACATACTCTTGCTACTTTACTTGATGTATGTATGTATGTATGGGTGGGTGTGTGTAGCTAATAATTTAATAATCATGTATAAATAAATAAATATCCAATTTGTTGCAAATTGCAATCAAGTAAGTATATTGCCTGGCTAACAATATAATATAATATAATATATAGATGAAGAAGGTGATTCAGGGAAAGGCCTCAACACCAAATTTGGGAAGAAAAGTAGCAGTTTCGCATACAGGATACGCGAGCACGGTGAGAAACTCAACCAAGATGATTCATTAGATATTGGAAGACTTGACTTGATTTGACTCTAAATATTAATGCAGTGAAACTTGGGCCCAAGCTGTCTGAAACTGTCAAGGGGAAGTTGAGTTTGGGGGCAAGAATTATTCAAAAGGGTGGAAGGAGGAATATATTTAAACAGATATTTGGTGTAAATGAAGGAGAGGAGCTGTTGAAGGCCTCCCAGTGCTACTTATCAACCACGGCGGGTCCTATTCCTGGCCTGCTTTTTATTTCCACTCAAAAGCTTGCTTTTTGCAGTGAAAGATCCATCTCTGTCCCTTGCGCTGCAACTGCAACTGGGCAAGTCGTTCGAACGCCGTACAAGGTTTTTATTCGTTTCTTACTCTTCTTCTAATATCTAATCTTCTATTCTAATTTCTATATATGAAGACGACAACTTATATAAACGGGCGGAATGGATGTTTTGCAGGTTCAGATACCAATAAGGAAGATCAAAAGAGCTAACCAAACCGAGAATGTGAACAAACCACAACAGAAGTACATAGAAATAGTTACCGAGGATGATTTCGAGTTCTGGTTTATGGGATTCTTACGCTATGAAAAAGCTTTCAGAAATCTTGAAAAGGCCATTTCCATTACCAACCAAAACTAGAACAAATTTATAAAATCCATCCATCCATCAAACAGACTCGACTCCTACCATTAAGCTACATGATATGTGTTTTTTGGAGCGCTGCAACCAAGCTTAACCTCTAGCTCTCTTCCGTGGTATTCTTTCTTGTATTTTCCTCCTTTTTCGTTTCTTGGCTTTTTGATGTCTGCCTGCCTACCTACCATGTAATAATCATGTCAACTTGATATACGCTATTGTTTCAGGGTTTGGTTCTGAATTCTGAATTCTGATGATGTGATGAGTTTGATTTTCAGGGAATTTTGATATAAAATAAGGACAAGCTGAATTATCTTAACCCTCCCTGCCTGGTAGTAATTAAACAAAAATCTTGCAGAATAAATTAATTAAATATTTTACCGACAACAAATGCATGGCTTGGCTTCTGAAACGATTAATTGGCGCAACGCAATCGTGAAATAAAAGGCGCTTTTGTGTAGCAGCAAGCAGCTACTCAACTCAACTCGCTGACAATATATTCGTTTCGTTGGTTAACTAACAGACTTAATCACATGCACTCGGCAAAATATTTTCTCTGCTAGTTGCTACCCTAAACCCCCTCTAAATCCTAAGTCTAATATAAAGAGTTCATTAAAATAAAACAACTTATGCAACCACCTAACTGCATTCAAACAGGATGCTTCTTTTAACACCTCGACAGTCGCAAGACAATAATCATTAAACACAATAATCGATCAAGAATTAGGAAATAGTA